CTTAAGATAGAAGGGCTAGTCGTGGGTTCGAATATCCATACCGCACCTTCTTTTTGTTTTCCAAAAAAGTAGGACCAGGCCCAGCTCGGCACATAGGGGTGCCGGGCGGACCAAACCAACATTTTAACTGGATGGGGTCGCTGGCCTGTTTCTTCGTTCTGGATGGGCTGTAGCGAAATCGATCAAAGCTTTAGTACCACCTCGCGTATATGTTTTAAATTCAAACTGAAAGCATAAATATACAGAAAGAAAGCGTATTGTGACGGTGAACCCACGGAGTCAATTCATGCTTTATTATTAGGTACTGAAGAAACCAATAAAAACAGTACCCTACAAGCAATAAACGCTGACCACATTAGCCAATCTCTTGGAAAAAGAGATGTGCAGGACAGCCTTCTAGGGTGCAGACTGAATCTCAGATCCTTCAGACACTGAACAATGGAGAAAGTCAGCATAGTTGAACTTTTCATGGGAGGCACTCCTGATTTCACTTGTTGGAACTCCTGATGATGTATGCCCTCCCGATTTCACAATACAACACTCAGCTTTGCACACCTGACTTCATTTTACGAAGACATTGCAGCCAATGAAACATCAAATAATGAATGGAAGTACCAGTTCATCAAAGCCTTAATTACTCAGTGGCTACACAAACACACACGTACAATGTTGCAGCTTTCCTGGCATGGGAGCTCCGCCAGACCGGTCATAATGTTGTGATACCTGCTGCCGCACAATAACCACCGCCTGTGGTGCATACGGCCCGCCAGCACTCCTTCACACACTGGCTGGCCTCACTATATCGTTTACAAATGCATCTTCTCTGTTTTTTTTAATGCAGAGACAATGAATTTGAAGCACCTAACATTGACGTTTCATGCGAGGTTAGTTCCAACACAACACATAGACATATTTTCCAGACTTTTCGATGTTAGCACAATGCATAATATCATAGCACATAATTTTTCTCAACTTTTCCCTCCATAGTCATAAGCACTTCAACACTCGTTTTATGAAATAAACAAAAATAAAACTTACTCCCGCTACTCTTTCATTTTTCCATGTACTAATGGTGAATTATAATAATAAACCATATTTCTGTCTTTAGCTCCTATATAGCTTCAAATGATTTCTTATATGATGTGGTAATCAATGGCTTTCCCTGGTACAGGCCTGTAGAACTGTAGATGATCTATTCTGGACAAAAGGGTCGAGGAATGGTGCGAAGGAAGCTTCTTCTCTGTTGGAAACTTAGGAAGGATATCGGAGTTAGAATCATGTTTTACTGTTTCTTTTGATGTGAAGTTCGGTTTTTGAAATTGCGTGCTTAAGTTCAGTTGTGGTAATATTTGAAATGCAAGACTGGCTTGTGATTGTTCTGTAAATGAGTGTCAGTTTGAATTAGTTAGACAGGTGCTCTCTTGGAGCCAGCTACACACGTGATCGGCACCTTTCTTTCACGTACTTCATGTATTTGGTCTCGTGGAAACAATTAGCAAGTTATTTGCACGTTGTATGTTCAAATTAACCTCTTGTAATCCCTGCACAACCGAACAGCTATAAGGGAAACCTAAAAGGGATTGGCTGACTACGGTTTGACTGCATGTTGTCTTGGCAGCGGCGGCGGCTAAGTCTTAGATGCCGGGCCGATGCCCCTGTGATGTGAGGGTGGATGGATTGGCTCTCCTGTGAGCGGCCCTTCAACAGGTGTTGGTTGTGTGCTTCGGCCATGTGGTTGACAGAGGCGTTCGATGGCGAGTGGTCCCGGCGAACACGTCGCCAGGAGCGGCGTCCTGATACTGATCCGGACCTAGAGTCTGTGCTCCACTGGGTGGGGTGCCCATCATGGTGGTCCTGTTCCCACAATGTTGTGAGTAGGGGAAGTTCGCCGAAAGCTCTGCACCTCTGCGACAGTGGCGGCGATGCCTGCGGGTATCAGCACCCTCTTGGGGTGTCGCCTTGATTCTCTCTCTGCCCTCCGATCGACACTCAGGTGAAAACCTTTTGTACGCTTCGGCTGACACAGTGATCATGTTGCTTCACGCCATGTCCTCTTGAGGGATTCGTGGATGAGTGTTAAGGACCCTCGGGCGTGAGTGCATGACTGAGTGACTCATGTGCTTTTTCTCGGCGACTTGGAGGAGGTATTTAGTTGTGCACGCGTGTGCATTTTTACCATTCTCAGCCAGTTTTATCGTGCCTTTATGTTTGATCAGCTGTTTAGGATTTCGTTAATATCATGTATCATTTGGCCTTGTAGCTTTACTAATATATCAACGTGAAAGCATGTTTCAATGAACAGGGATTTCAGTAAAAAAAATGACAAACACCTGTAATTTTATTCATACTCATAACTATTACAGTTACATGTAAGATCCAAGAAAATAAGAAGTAAACTTTAGGACTAAGAATTACATTCACATCTCTTGGAAACACCTACTATGTGGTGTCAATCCCTGCTAGACGAAATACTCCTAATACTTCAGTAAAGAAGTTGCAGTTAGACCGAACCAATGATATTGTCACTTTCTCACCCGCACGAAAATTAAAAAAAATGGTTTTGAAAGTCCAATGAGTCACCCATCCAAAAAATGAGAAGCCTTGAGCGATGAACATACTTGGGCCGGGTATGATCAACATGTGTAGATCATGGAATCACAATATCTTAACCATAGTGTCTTTGAAATGTTTCACCTCTAGAAAGAATAAAACCAACAAAAAGAAAACTTTATACACTAATATAAACTCTTAAGAGCAAATTATCGAATCTGCGAGCACACAAAACTCTCTAGCTTCGTGGCACCACCAAAAAAAATGAGAGTATTTACTCTCACAAACCTACGATCACCACTAGATGTTGGCGAAGAACATAGAACACTTGAAGATCCAAGGGCCCCCACCTCACAGGGCCAATACGGCAGCCAGAGGAGAGGGGACCAAAATGTTTCTCTGGCAATTGCAGCTAGAGTAGTTTCGATGTAGTGTAGGTCAATGTAAAAAGAAGTAAATGTTGTAATGATAGATTAATTGGACAGGGGATCCACTCAATCCCTACAGGGCTTAGGACATTTCAAACCTATAAAAATGGTGGAGTAAAACCGTAGTGGAGTATTTTTACTCCACTAAGTTTTGGCCCAACCTAACCGATACCTTATATATAACGGAATATTTTTTTTCATTCGCGTTTCGCTGTCGGAACACATGCTTTGCCTCTTTATTTCGTTCAGTGACATTTTGATACATTGGAGTACATAATTCACCTATTCTTCGCTACGAGAGTAAGACAAAAAAAAATAAGAACCACAATTAAACATTCTAAAAGATATCCAACTTCCATAACAGTTCCCACTAGTTGGATTAATATCTTCTCTATGTCTTTATTGTTGATCTGCGGCTTCTCGAGCTTGCACACTTTTTTCTTCTTCGGTTTTGAACAAGTAGACGTTGTTTCGCAACTAGTCTCATCTCTAGCATCTAGTCTAGCAACGAGTAAATGAGCATTTATCAATTTTTGTGCTATCAAAACTTCCATCCACCCAACACACAAATTACAGCAAACAATGAGCTACCGAAATTGCATCAAATTCGGTGAAGAACCGAATGAAAAGAGGCACATACGCCATCTTTTTTGCGCTTGAAGAACAACCATCTGGGATGCTCTAGCATGGCAGAAACTCGGTGCACCACCTGCCGTGGGCAATCGTCGCACTTTATGACCGACAATGGTCAGCCGACGAGCCGCTGGGCCACCGCCGAGCCCGAGCGACGGCCCGGCGCGTCTTTGTCGGCGAACCGCCGACGGGAGAGATCTGAGCGACTGGAGGCGGAATCAACACCAGCATGCAACACAGAGGCTTTGTCGGGGCTATGCGGTCCGATACCCGGCCAATCCATGGCAAGGCCTAGTCGTTGGCGACCGGATGCGCCAAATTCGGCAGTGAACGCGGAAGCCGTAGATCTACTGGTTGTGCACCGGCGACCGGACGAGAGGGGCACAAATCCGGATGCTCAAGGACCGCGACGGAGCATCCGCGGCGGCGGCCGGTTGGGCGTGGGAGGGGTGGCGCCGGCGTAGATGCGGCACGGAAGTGGAGCGGGGGAGACAGCAGAGGAGAGAGGATTCTTTTTACTCGGCCGCCAAGCGGTGGAGTAAATATAGAGAGACGGAGCACGGCTGGGGATAATTAATCATCCACTAACGCCGATTGGGGATCGGCTAGGTGCCGCTTAGAGAAGTAAAGCCGAATTTTTACTTCTCTAAACAGTTATTGGGAATTGGTTAGAAATGCCGTTAGTTCACTGTTGGGAATTAATCCCCAAAACCGAACTCGGCCAAAGCCAGGTGGGAGTACGGTTAACATTTGAGAGAGCATAGGCTTTCCTACACCCCCTTATCTATCCATTCATTTCTGCATCGCGATTCGTGCAAACACTTTTGTCTTTTTTGTTTCTTCTAAATAAAACAACGTATGAAGTTCAAACTTTGGAGAACAACAAAACATTCTAACTAGAATGTGGGAAAAATACTTTGAGATTTTTTTTGAACCGTATATACAAAAAAATAGTATCTTTTACTCAAAAAAAAAATCTCATTTTGTATATTTATGTCGGACCAAAAAATCTGAAAGTTTTTTCCCACATTGCAGTAAGAATGTTTTGTTGTCCTGCGAAGTTTAAAGTTCATATGTTGTTTCGTTTTGAAGAAAAAAAGAAAAAATTTCATGTAGTAAGTTAGTTGTGTAGCACGGATCTCAAAGCAACATTGGACGGTAAAGATAAGAGGTGTCCAGAAACCTGAGCTTTATAAATCCACATTCGTGGGAGTACCTAGCCCAGCCCATTCAAGAGGAGCACAATTTTATAGGCTCCGTCCTTGATATAAGCAGATTGAGCTGCGCTCCCTCTCCTCGGTGGCATGCTGGCATCATATATTCCAACCTTAATAGTGAGCTAGTAGCAAAGTATTCGCCCAATCCTACCATCCCTAGCTTCGATCAACCATGGCCGGCGGCGTCATGATGAACACGGCTGGTGGAAAGCCATACCCTGGCAAGCTCACTCTATACGTCGTCTTCACATGCGTCGTCGCCTCCACGGGCGGCCTCATCTTTGGCTATGACATCGGCATCTCAGGCGGCGTCACGTCCATGGACCCGTTCCTCTTGAAGTTCTTCCCAGAGGTGTACTGGAAGAAGCAGGAGGCGAGCAAGAGCAACCAGTACTGCCGGTACGACAACCAGCTGCTACAGGCCTTCACCTCCTCGCTCTACCTCGCCGCCCTCATCGCCTCCTTCTTTGCCTCCACCGTCACCCGCGTCCTAGGCCGCAGGTGGTCCATGTTTGCCGGTGGCTTCGCCTTTCTCGTGGGAGCGGGCCTGAACGGCGCCGCACAGAACATTGCCATGCTCATCGTTGGACGCACATTGCTCGGAGTCGGCATCGGATTCGCCAATCAGGTACGAGGTTGCTCACTCCAATGACTTCTCTGCATGAGATGAAATGTGTGCGGGTGCAAATATATCTATATATATCGCCATCAAGGTCACATCACAGTTCCATATGCAAATATATGTCGCCATCAAGGTCACATCACAGTTCCGTATGCAAATATATGTTGCCCTCAAGGTCACATCAAAATGCCGCCACATGCAAATATATATCGCCCAAGTTGAAGCCAGGAATTTCAAAGAGCTTGACTGCTTTGTTGTTCTGCGTCACTCGTTTGTGTTTTACTACCTCTGTAACTTAATATAAGAAGTTTTTTAACACTATGATAATGTCCAAAAACGTCTTATATTCTGATACGCATAGAGTAGTTATTGATTAATTACATTAACAGTTGCATCAACAGGTACGTACACGAAATGGGAGGAGAATGTGACGTATATGGGGCACATTCATTTCTTTGCTTCATTTGTTTAGGATATGCATGGACCAACGGGGAAGATATATAGATTGAAAACGAACTAAACATCAAGTCCCATTGACAATTTTTGAATTATTAAAAAATAGTATGAGAGAAAAGCATGAACTGACGTGGTGCTAGGTCCTGTCTTGTAGTATGTCGTCCATGTCTATCCCACTGCTTTACTATGTGCAGAAATAAATAGATAATTGTGCAAGGAAGAATGAATGTATATACTGATGGTGAATGTAGTCAAAATCATCCAATATTTTGTGCACGCCACATAATTTGGGGCATATAGTGAGTACACATGATGAATGAAGTGTGTAAAAGTACAATTGAATGATTACTTTGATACGCTTGCATGCAGTCTGTGCCGTTGTACATGTCAGAGATGGCACCGGCGCGTCTCCGCGGCATGCTCGGCACCGGTTTCAACCTCATGATCACCACCGGCATCCTGACAGCAGAACTCATCAACTACGGTACCAACAAGATCAAAGGTGGCCATGGTTGGCGCTACCAGGTCCGCGTACTCATCACCGATGTCGTCGGTGCCGCGAATACGGCGTAGCATCCGACGGGACGCCTCTGGGTGGCCTCGCTCCATCAGTGAGTTGGGGGTGTCAGGGAGGAAGAGTGAGCCGAGCGTGATTGAAAACAAGATCAAAGGTGTCAAAGCTAGTGCAACATCCATGGCGCAACATTGTGTTGCGCAAGTACCGTGCGCAGCTCACCATGGCCGTGCTCATCCCCTTCTTCCAGCAGTTCTCTGGCATCAACGTCATCAACTTCTACGCACCCGTGCTTTTTGAGACGCTCGGTTTTAAAGGGGATGCGTCGCTCGTGTCGTCAGTTATGACAGGCGGCGTCCTCGTGCTTGGCTCGCTGGTGACAATGCTCATCGTCGACAGGCTGGGGCGGCGGAAGTTGTTCCTGCAGGGTGGCGCGCAGATGCTAGTGTCTCAGCTCGCGGTGGGGACGCTGATCGCGGCAAGGTTCGGGACGAGCGGCGTTGGAGAGATGCCCAAAGGCTACGCGGCGGCGGTGGTGCTCTTCATCTGCTTGTACGTGGCGGGCTTCGTGTGGTCGTGGGGTGCGCTGGGGTGGCTGGTGCCGAGCGAGATCTTCCCGCTGGAGATCCGGTCGGCGGCGCAGAGCATCAACGTATCGGTGAACATGCTCTTCACCTTCGTCATCGCGCAGGCCTTCCTCACGATGCTCTGCCACATGAAATTCGGGCTCTTCTACTTCTTCGCCGGATGGGGGGTGGTCATGACCGTCTTCGTCGCGCTCTTCCTGCCGGAGACTAAGAACGTCCCCATCGAGGAGATGGTGCTCGTCTGGAAGGGACACTGGTTCTGGAGAAGGTTTGTCGGAGATGACGACATCCACGTTCAAGAGCCTTGAATGGAGATGAATAATAAACTATCATGAAAACCTCATTGTAGATGACAACATCCACGTTCAATATCCTATTACAGCATCTTCAATAGTTCCCTCAAAAACCTATTCCTATTACCTTTAAGTACGTTTAGGGGTCTGTCAATAAAGTTATTGGATTTGAATGGTGTGCGGCTGTAAACTCGATCTTATAATTCCTGTTTCTCTTACACTAATGCATACATTTTGACCATCAAAATAATATATTTTTATCTTCAACACATAGTCCCTTCTTCCCAAAATCTTAGGCACCTAACCTTTCTCAAAACTTCTAAACATCTAAGGCGTGTTAGCACTGAGCCCCTGATATTCTCTCTTGGATGGTCAGACTAAACTAACCATTGCTAATGGTGGATTAGCCAACCATGTTTGTAAAGGATATCATCGAAGAAGAACGCATCATAACCAATCGATCGGCTCGACCCCTCCGCGAAAAAAGGCTCTTCCCACGTCACCCAGCCCAAGGCGACTCGGGCGCGGCCAGCAATCCACACACCAGCGCCGCTCTTTCCCCTCCTCACGCCGCGCCGCCGCTGGGTGAAGCCCCCGCGGCCGACAGCGGAGGCCAGGCTCTCTCCCACTGCGGCTTCCTTCCTGTAGGGTAGCAGGTTGGGAGGAGCAATGGTGCGCACTGGGGCTTAATTAGGATCCCGGCGACCGGTGGCAGACCTCACGTCCTCACATGGGTGTGGCAGCGGCTACTGGCGTCGTGGCCATTTGGGGCTGCATCGGGGGAGGATGTCAAGCGTGACACTGCCCAGATCCGGCCATCGGGATCCAGGCGAGCCCCGAGGTGGTTGGCCCTACTATTCTTCAAGCTCCATAACTTCGATCTGCTTCATGCCGGCCTCCTCGATCTGGACAGCTTTTGGCGATTGCATCACTTGATATCTAGATCGGAATTGATCGGGTCGGGAGCGCCCTCATCTTCAGCCAGAGAGGCTTTATGAGGGTGTGGCGCGAAGCTTCGCTGCCTTGTCGGTGCCATGGAACATGTGGTGAAGAAAGTCATGGTGGCTGCGATCGGAGACTTGTAATAGCGGATAGGAGTTTTGGTTGTGCTGAAGACTGGCGGCATTTTCCTGTGTGTCCGGTGTTGAGCATTTGCAGTGGTGGCCATGGAAAGAGGGGGCGGCAACATAGGTGAACAACATTTTTGGCGGTGCTTCTCGAGTTCCGAGCCATGATCTCCAGGGTGAAATCCCAAGGTTTGGCTTTCATTGGTTGTACATGGCAATGGTCATTGCGAAGGCATTGTTTTTTGGGATCTCGGACTCTCTAGGGTGAATTTTGTTTTTAATTTTTGTTCGTAGTTGTGTGCATCCTTGATGTATTTCAATATCTTGTTTGTGGAGAGGCAGGATATAATTGGTATCTTCGCGATATTAATATATTCCATTTATCAAAAAAGTGGAAGAAACTTTTTGTAACCATGGCAATAATTTGCGAGAAGCCTTGTGCTAATTTCCTTATCAAAAGCTTACACACCCTACACAATGGGAAGGAGGGAGTATCATTCATCCTAATTTCAAATCTACAAGTATGGAAATTTAAATTCACACATAATAAATGGTCAAAATGCTTTCGAAGTAAACATGAGGAAGTTCAACACCCATGTAGCTCCCACAAGTGCTCCACAAGGTCATCATAAAGTTGTTCATGCCCCGTGGAGTCTTCGATCTATCGATGCATTTGAAAAAAAAATCAAAAGACGATGTTCATCCCTGCTTGGGTTCGACAGAGCTATGTAAATTTTCTTTCTGTCATTCTCATAACAAGATTCCTATGGCTGACTTGGTCGGTGTTCTATGGTCATAATGTGCATGATCACACACAGTCATGATGCGCCATAAAAGGTTTTTATCTCAGAATCTTTTTGGGCCACAAACTATGACGAATCAAGCTTGCAACACCCCGAATGCTAGCGCGACATCTCTCTTGCAGCAAGTTGATTCTTCAAGGCATGGCGTCGTGCCGTGCCAAGCAGCAACAAGTAATCAAATTTTTCACCCACCCACCACCCATCTGACTGCCAACATCGAAGATCTCACCGACATCCTGGAGGACGCAGCCGAGGAACACGCGGAAAAGGACGAGGAGATGTGCAAGTTTGCAGAGAGCCTACAACCAGCCATGGCACCGTCATGTACGTCGCATCCGGCCTCGGTCCAGGAGTTCTACATGGTTGATCCGACGAGCTTCATGGCCAGTGATGAAATTTTTAGCATATATGTGGAAATCGACATGGCTACCTTGGATATGCAATAATTAATTTATGTTATCAAGGGCAAAATACTTCACCTTTTTTTACTTCATGTCTATTTGGAGGATTATTGAGCACTTCTATAAACCATGTGTTGTAATAAAGAAGTTACAGTTCAAGTTCTACGTGTTATGGACTCAGTTTCAAACTACACACACATATCTGACTTCAAATGCCTGTAACTTTTTCATTCGAACTCTGAATTAGGTGAATCTTATTTTGTTGGACAACTTATCTTGTGAACTTTCCAACCCCATTAGATTCACCTTCAAATTCGTCCCGAGCACGTAGATATCACCGAAACAATCTGATGTTGATCCAGAATCCAATTCAAACTACAAATCAAATGGTGATGTGTCACCTTTACTTGGGCCCAAGGGTCTTGCATGACCTACAGTTGGTTTTCACTGCCTTGGAAGTATGTCCATCCCCTTGGTCGTCATGCCTTAGTCCTAGATAAGTAGATCAATTCCCTAGCGTTTTTCTTGGGTTTTATTTAGTTAAAAGTTAGCCATTGCGAGGTACTTCGACTGTGTCCAACGAACTGGACAAGAATACTATCGGAACCCCACTTTTATGAATACTTCATCTATATCTACAATATTCAGATTGCTTTGATCATATTGTTTCTCGTTCTTCGCTGGTTTCTAGGAACAGATCTTCGGTGTTATGCTAATCTTTTTTTATGGGATCGCCATTAACCTCTAGGAAATTAGTTGGCTGATTTCTAAGTAGCAACGTGGTTGCATGTTGTAATCGGATTGTCAATCGATATTTATCATCTCAATGAAAGATCGTCCCACAAGAGATAAATATTGGAATTGATTAGAAAACTGCCCCCGCGTTGCTCCCTCCCCATGGCGACACGGGTGGCGGCGGTGCATCTACCTTCCCTCCCCTCCTCGCCGCCCTCTCCCTCGCTGCCACCGGCAGCTCCCCTCCAAGAAAAGCCGGGAGGGAGCCGGCGGCGGCGGGCCTTGTTCCTCCGCTCAATGGAGGCTCGCTTGCGGTGGGCTATGCGGCGAGGCGTCAGCTAGTGGCGGGTTGTGCGGTGCTAATCTAGGCGTCGTGCTGGTTGCGTGGAGGAATGCCAAGGAGGCGTCGGTGCTCGGCGGTCGTTGTGGCTGCGCGCGCGATGGCTCTTTGGCCAAGATCATGGAAACCCGATTTTCCTGCTCTAGCGTTTGCGTTCGAGGTCTTATGTCACGCGGTTGTGCTCCTGCGCTTGCGGCATGGAGGCATTCTGTTGGGTGTGGCAGCGTGGCACGGCGCGCACACGGT